AACAAACTAATTGCAGCAATCAAACCAACTAGCCAATCAAACAGCAGACCAACCAACTGGCCCATCAACCGACTAACCAACCAACTAACCAATCACCTTACCAACAAACTAACTAATGGCGATAGAATTAATAAAATTGATTATGCTGAATTCTGTTCTTACTTACAGAGCGAGAGGGCGAGGAGAATATTTGTAAGAAGATCTGGCAGCCAGGGCAATGCTCTTCGTTATTAACAAAATACACATACGATAAGGACTCGGGATCCTGCCAGCCGATGTTATATAACGGTTGCCTGGGAAACAGGAACAGTTTCGACTCCATACATGAATGTACAGCAGCATGCAGTAAGTATTAACAAGGTTGAACAAGTTGAAATAGCTAGTAAATGAAGATCAGGAAAGCAAGAAAATAACAATATTGTCTTGTTTTAATTCCAGTCGTTGAACGAAGAAGACGATCTGTTAGAAATTCTACACAAGAACAAAAACCTAAACACTTAAAAGATCTCCTTCACAAGAGTTTCCACCATATTAGAAGACACGTTAGCTATAAATAGATCACCATAGTAACCATTACCATAGCAACAAGGAGAATATGCTGCCGAAGGTGGCGCTCCGTTGTCAAAGTTTTATTCTTGTAAAGATTTATACGGACTGTAGTCAAAGGTTAAGGAACATTGACTGATACATGTATTTTTGTTTTAAAAGAAGAATATATAAATTCATAAATTAGAGAGATAATATAGATTTCGAGAGCCTGAGACGAAAAATTAAGGAGGCTCCAAACTTAAAAAATAAGTGATTTCCAAAATCACAGAATGATTTAATTTTATTAAGAAGATATTTCTCTTTGAATAATATTTTAATTGAATTATTTTAATTTGCATACATTGAAGCGGTTATAGTAGATGACACAGTCGTCGAAATGTAATCGATTTATATTCGTTGATCGTTTAGCGATGTATTATCGATTCACTGAATAGAAGTCAATTTTACATTGAAAATATCAATCAATTATTGTGCATGCGATAAAGTGGTGCAAATTTAGAGTACGTCTTCCACTTTGTAAAATGATGTTATGTAGTTATGATTGTTTTTAAATTCATTACTAGAATACAAACACTTAAAATGTAAAACAAGACTACAACAAAATAGTGCTAAATTACTATTTATCGTTTTCTATTGTTTATTTTGCACTATTTTCAACTAAATAGTAAAGCTTAACGTTGTACGTTTTGAGTGTTTGTATTATAGTAAATTGCTAAAATATAGAGTGTAGATGATATGTTGTCTAGTTAAGTCTTTTTAAATAAAGTGGAACTGTTAGTTCATTTTTGCTTGTGTTTTTATAATGGGGGATGACTTAGAAGCCGCGAAAAGAAAGCAATACAATAGTCTCCTTCACTGTTCCCTGCGCCATCTTGAAAGGTAGCCGTGCCTTTACATCGAAGCGAGACAACCGTTGAGCGTGCAATGATAGATACCTGTGAATAATTGTCTGTAGGTGTTAAAGAAGGTTTCAATCATTGCACGTTCAACGGTTGTCTCGCTTCGATGTAAAGGCACGGCTACCTTTCAAGATGGCGCAGGGAACAGTGAAGGAGACTATTAGGGACGTTTGAAGCAGGCTAGAGTGATCGCACCTAAACCCTTCAACTTTACAAAATCTAAGTAGTATGAATGCTTCATTTGTGTGAATTCAATTTAATTTGCATTCCGCATGCACGATTTACTAAATACAACTAAAAAGCACTATTTAGTTTGTACAGTTGCACGGTTCAAGGGCGGTCACTAGCGAAGACAATTTTAGAATGAGTGAAACTTCGTGGTGTCTTTTTAATCCAATCCCTTCCCATTGAACAGAAAACAGCAATGAGTTTGAGAAGAAAGTGCTTCCACTGACAAATGGGAAGTACAAAACGGAGCAGTGAATAAAGAACAAGCTAATGATTTCAGTTATATTTCCATCTTCGCCTTTGTGTACTGCGTGCGCATGCCCAGAAGAAAGCCAAACCTTGCGGATTGATAATTAAACAGAGAATTCATGTGTACGTAACAAAAAACGCGTAAAGAAGTTTACGTATTCAAATATTCGAAACATGAATACATGCGGAAACAGGAGCCCATTACTAGCTCCTGTTCGGCTCCTGGCGGAAACGAGTGCGCGTATTCCGCAGAAACAAATATACGTATTCAAGTGCACGTAATGCAAGACGCGTAAAGAAGTTAACGTGTTCAAGAATACGTAGCAATGCATGCGTAAACGAGTGTGCGTATTCCACAGAAACAAATATTCGTATTAAAGTTTACGTAAAACAAAACGCGCAAAGAGGTGTACGTATTCAAGTATACGTAGCGATGCATGAGAAAGCATTTGTACGTATTCAACAAAAACAAGTATATTTATTGATGTGCACACGTAAATAGAAATTCGTAGAAATAGAAGTGTGCGTATTCAAGTTTACGTAAGAAATGCGCAAACAAGCGTACGTAATTCAACGAAAGCATGTGTACGTATTCATGTACACGTAGTAATAAATGCGTAAACAAAAGTACGTTTTTAATTGTACGTAGCAAAGAAGTGCGTGTTTACTTTAACTGAAACAAGTGCACGTATTCATCAAGCGTAAAAATCAAGAAATACGCACGCATACAAGAAGGCTACAATTAAAATTGCACGTCCAGATGCTGAGCGTTTTCAAAGATGTCAACAATTCAGATGCGCGAAGGAAGAAGCGAAAAACCTAAATGTCCGATTTGAGTGTCGCGCAACAGCGCTGCTATTCAAGTTTGTAAACGAATTCCCAATTTATACCMGTTTCATCAACTTGCAGCGCCCCGAAAACATTTGCCGCAAGTTAGGCAAATCATATGCACTCCTTAACTAAAACTCGAAGAATCTTGATATAAACGCCGCTTACAAAATTATTACTCAACATTTTGGATGCGATATGATTTATGAGGAAGCAACAAACGCGGCAAATTTGTTGTAGCGCAAAAAGCACAAGTTAAAGAAGCAAATGTTTTTTATACGCTGTGTAAAACAGGAAAGAGTAGGAGAAGCCGACTGGTTCCTGGGAGAAATATATCTGTTCTTATGTCCCAGTCAGCTGTAAGTCACAACTGGTTGCCAGCGAGAAATTCAGGAAAAAAGAGCTCTCCAAGCAAGGAATACTTTCTAAGAACTTTTGCCAGGAAAATAAAGATGTCCTAACTAAAAATATA